TCAAGCATAGTAACAGCCCATATAGCAGCCCAATTCTATTGGCCAAAAAGAAGGATGGGGGTTGGAGGTTCTGTGGGGACTACAGGGCTTTAAATAAAATAAATGTGCCTGATAAATTTCCTATTCCAGTCATAGAGGAATTGTTAGATGAATTAGGTGGTGCAACTGTTTTTTCCAAACTAGATCTCAAGTCAGGTTACCACCAGATTAGAATGAGAGCAGAGGACACTCATAAAACAGCTTTCAGAACACATGAAGGCCATTATGAGTACCTGGTCATGCCTTTTGGGCTGACCAATGCACCTTCTACATTCCAGGCTCTTATGAATGAGGTGCTGAGACCTTTTTTAAGAAGATTTGCCTTTGTGTTCTTTGATGACATCCTAGTATACAGTAAGACTATGGAGGATCATAAAGAACACTTAAGGTTTATTCTGGAAGCATTAAGGGAGAATCAATTGGTGGCTAATAAGAAGAAATGTTCTTTTGGCCAACAACAACTGAATTATTTGGGGCACATTATCTCTGCTGAAGGGGTAGCTGCTGATCCGGAAAAGATTGCAGCCATGAAGAGCTGGGTTATACCTAAGAATTTGAAGGAGTTAAGGGGCTTCTTAGGTTTGACAGGATACTATAGAAGATTTGTGAAGAACTATAGTAAAATTGCTGCACCTTTAACAGCCTTATTAAGAAAAGATGGATTTAAGTGGGATGAAAAGGCTGACAGAGCATTTGAAGAGCTGAAAACTGCTATGATGTCCCTACCAGTTCTCAGAGTTCCAGATTTCAACAAGCTTTTTATTATTGAGACTGATGCTTCGGGTAAAGGGTTGGGAGCTGTTTTGATGCAAGAAGGAGGTCCTTTAGCTTACATGAGCAAAGAATTATCTTCTAAGCATCAGACCAAATCAGTTTATGAAAAAGAGTTAATGGCAATTGTATTTGCCATTCAAAAGTGGAGGCCTTACTTGTTAGGAAGACATTTTGAAGTGCATACGGATCAGCGAAGTCTAAAATACTTAACTGAGCAAAAGATTATGGGAAATGATCAACAAAGATGGATTGCCAAGCTCATGGGGTATAGTTTTTCCATTAAATACAAGCCGGGATGTGAAAACAAAGGTGCTGATGCTCTATCAAGGAAGTCTTACTTGACAGCTTTATTTGTGGTACAATGTGAAGAGTGAGAAGGGCTAGAAGAAGAGTTACTGACAGATCCCAAGTGTGTTGAGATAATTCAGAAGATAACCAGTCAGCCGGATCAGATGTCTGAGTTTAAATTGAAGAAATGATTATTATACTATAAAGGCAGGTTGATGTTACCCAAGGATTCCCCCAGAATAAAGAGGATCCTGCAAAATTATCATGATTCAGCTACAGGAGGGCATGCAGAGAATTTTAGAACCATGAAAAGGATTTCTACATTATTCTATTGGATGGGCATGAGAAAGGACATCCAGCAACATGTACAGACTTGTGATATCTGTCAAAGAAATAAGTATCAAGCATTGAAACCAGCAGGTTTATTACAGCCTTTACCCATACCAGAGCAAATATGGACAGATGTGAGCATGGATTTCATAGGAGGTTTACCTAAGGCTCAAGGAAAAGACACTATATTGGTCGTGGTAGACAGATTAACAAAATTTGCACATTTCATTGCATTGGCACATCCTTATAATGCTAAAGGGGTGGCTGATCTGTTTGTTAAAGAAGTGGTGAAACTCCATGGATTTCCTAGATCAATTGTGAGTGATAGAGACAACATATTTCTGAGTTCCTTCTGGTACGAGTTGTTCAAATTAGCTGGCACACAATTGAAATACAGTACATCATATCATCCTCAGTCAGATGGCCAAACTGAGGTGGTGAATAGGTGCCTTGAAACCTATCTGAGATGCGTTACAGGAAAGAAACCAAAGGAATGGATTAGATGGCTACCATGGGCTGAGTATTGGTACAATACTAACTATCATATATCTCTGAAACAAACTCCTTTTCAGGCTCTTTATGGGCAGGAACCACCAGCCATAATAAAAGGAGATGTCACTCTTACTGCTGTAGAAGAGGTGGTCCGGTTAACTGCGGAAAGGAATGAAATGTTGGCTGAACTAAAGGAAAACTTGGCTATTGCTCAGAATAAGATGAAACAACAAGCAAATAAGCATAGGAGAGATTTGAAACCTGAGGTGGGGGATCAAGTATTCCTGAAAATTCAGCCCTACAAATTACAGAGTTTAGCAAGAAGAATGAATCAGAAACTTAGTCCCAGGTTTTATGGGCCTTTTGAGATTATTGAGAAGATAAGTGATGTGGCTTTCAAACTAAAGTTGCCTGATTATAGTTTGATACATCCAGTGTTCCATATTTCTTTACTCAAGAAGGCCCTAGCCCCCAATTTGGAATGCCAACCTTTACCTAGCTGCTTAAATGAAAACTGGGAGTTGCAGGTAGTACCTGAGAGAGTGGTTGATATCAGAAAGAAGAATGATGTTACAGAAGTTCTAATACATTGGAAAGACTTGCCGGAGTTTGAGAGGTCATGGGAGAATGCACAGATGATGAAAACACAGTTCCCAGGACTCAAGCTTGAGGACAAGCTTGTTTTTCAGCAGGGGAGTATTGATAGAGACACCGGCAGCTCTGACAGAGGAGATAAATATTTCAGCCACGTTTATTCTAGAAGGAAGAAGTAGTTAGTTGTTATATGCTTGTAACCACTTTCTGTTGGAGGTTTGTATAGAAATAGAATAAACTGGGGTATGGAGGTAGGCTGTTTTTCCGGACTCTTGTCTTGGTTGGGAAGTTAGAGTATTAACTCTTACTTTTGGGACTCTGTACTTCGTTTCACAATTTGAATACACTGTTGATTTGTGATCTTACATTCTTTTCTCTTTGAATTACTGTGATTCTTGTTAGTTTTGCTTCTGATTACCTGCGTAGCTCTATCACCTATTATGTCCCCACATTCCTCATCACTTTCAAAACCGACGTAAAAGGTATAAATAACTGACGTGGAAACCCTCTTTTGTAGTAGTACGTGTATTGTATATAATGGGTGTTGTTTAGATACTACGTAGTCAGTATCCCCAAAACAATAGTCTAATTGAATGAAAGACACTAATTTTACCCTTTTCCCAATAAAACATGCATCAAACAAGTTAAGTATATTTCATTTAGTTCAAACATACACATTGAATGATATAGTTAGAATTGGTGAATTACTACAGTTGTACCACTCTGTACTAAAATTAAATAGTTGTAGCTTTGTGAAAAAAATATTTGTTTAGACATAGGTAGTAAAAGCTACAGTATATAAGATCTTCTATCACTTACAGAGTTTGGTAGTGTTAAAGAAACTCTATGTTTAAGAGTTATCATATATTCATATGCTCTATTCACTTTTCCTCTTAGTAGTTAGTATAGTGTCAAAGAGGACTCGATACCCTACTTTTTAGCAATGATCATGATGGGTCTTGACTACTCCATGTTGAATCAGTAATGATTCATTGATTCCAGACTTTTTTTTGCTTTTGGATTTGTGTAGAATAAGGCTATGAAAGAAGGTATATATGCAAGCTTGGTTTCTTTAAACAAAAATGCATCACAAATCAGGAAGCCTCCACATAGGAAAGCCCCTCCTCTGAATTGGTTCCCTCGACAAAAGGTTGACTCTTATTTGAAGAGAAAGTTAAAATTACTGCAGGTAAGTACTATATACTGACATATTCGTTCTCCATCCTATTTCTCCACTCTATGTGTTAATACGGTGTTGCCTGGTTGACACTAACACCAACAATATTCAGGAAGTAGATGGCATGAATTCAACACTAGATGAAACTTTGGGTGATTCTAACCCTCATTATTCAAGAGTGTTGAGAGAAAAAATTGCAGTGAGGGAGGCTGCAGAGAAAGCAATAGAGGCTCGCAAGGCTGCCATGGTTGAGGCATCTTGGTGTAGAATTCTCAAGGCAGCCAGGTAGCCCTTTTTGTTTTTAGAGTTAATTAATTACATTAACTTGTCCCAAGGCTTGGTCAAACAACCAAATGATCCATGATGTTTCTAAAAATTATGAATTTACACTCCTTGTCATTCAACTAATCGGCAATTAACAACATAAGATATTAGAATACTACGGTTTTAGTGATAATTTATGGTATTGTAGGACTAAATAATTTTTTAAATACGTTCCAACTTCCAAATATATTTTTCTTAATAAAATGTAGACTTGCTCGCATAAGAAAAACAGGGTGATGGTAATTAGTGTTTTCTTGGAGCTGGCATACTAAAATGTTTTCTTGAATATATAAATTATCCTCAATCTTTATGTGTACAGAATTGATACTAAACAAGCAGAAGAGCGTTTGATGAAGGCAGAAAAAACTTCAGAAGAAGCTTTCGAAGCTGCTACTGCAATTGGAGTGATATTATATGACACTCCAGAAGCTTCCCAGAAACACTATAACATGGAAATATCAGCCGAAAAGGCAGGAGGATCTGCCATGCACACTGTTAGAACATCTTTTGAGACTGCATTTGAAGTGGATAAACAAGTAGCTTTTGCGGTAAAGTCTTCCCTTATCAACCTTGCAAATTGCCCTTGGACAAATAAAGATGAATTCAAGGAACTGCTCCGAAAAATCAGTCAAAACCCTGATACAGATGAAAACAGTCAAAAAAATCTTCAGAATATGATTCTGATAATGCATCTGAGATGGATTTTAAGAACAGGGAGGTTTCTCACAAGTTTAGTATGACAAAGATTGTAGAAATGATGATGAAAAGATTGAGGTGTTTGGAAGAACATGACCTTGCATCTCTTGCTACTATAGTTGCAACTTGTGGGTTAAATGCTGCTCTTGAAGAAGCTGGAAACGAGAAACTGCATAGCAAACCGGATCCAGTATTTCATCAGAAATCAAACCCGGACCCACATCAAAACGTGGATGAGACCCCACTTCCAGGCCTGGACAAGTTTTTGGTAAGGCGGTTGACAAGGCTGGAAAGGGAGGTTCTAGAAGCCAAAATGACAAACAGGAATGTAGAGAGTGAAGGTAAAAGATGCCCACCTTCATACGCTAATTCTTCCCATTCAAGCCAAAATTATTCGGATCTTGGAAGTTCTCTTATAAAGCCTATTTCAAAACTTGAGAAGGAAATTGAAGAAGCAAAAAAGCACTCAAACTCATTAGTTGGAAGCATTATGTGTAAGCCTTCACATAGAAAACAAGATTTAATGGATGAGATTCCCAGCCTAGACAAGTTCCTAGTGAAGCATATGTCAAAACTTGAAAAAGAAGTGCAAGAAGCAAAAAACAGAAATAAGAACATTGACTCTTCTTCTGCATGTGGTAGAGGTGAAGGAGTGGGGAAAGAAAACATTGATCAAAACAAGAACATAGTAGATGCAGAAGTTGAGGGAAGTAGTAAAGTGTCCCTGGACAAGGTTTTAGTGAAACCAATTCATCGTTTGGAGAAGATGAAAATGCAAGATGAATCTTCTTCATCAATAGCTGGTGGTGTCCCGGTGAGATCTCAGAGGAGAAAGGTCAATTGTGATGATGACAATGGACTGGATAAAATACTTGTGAAGCATGTGTCCAAGTTGGAGAAGGCGAAGATGGCGGTAACGCAAGAAGTAGTAGAGAAGGAAAAGGTTACAAGTGTGAGTAGGAAGGGAGCGGTACTGAGCAATGAAGAAGCTAGTAGTTTGGGTCAGGTGTTGGTGAGGAGTGATAATAAATGTAGTAGTAAATTAGAGGGGGGAAAGATAGAAGAAGACGAACAAGGAGATGGTGAGCAGATTATCAGTAGTAGGCATTCGGTTTCTAGGAGAGAAGCCAGGGAGAAAGAGATGCAGCAAGCATGGGGAGGATTAAGCCTTGGTAATTCCATCCGTCCTCATCTCTCCAGGCTTCAGAGGGATAAGGCAAGTTGTTGTTGTTGTTGTTGTTATTATTATTATTATTATTATTATTATTATTATTATTATTATTATTATTATTATTATTATTATTATTATTATTATTATTATTATTATTATTATTATTATTATTATTATTATTATTATTATTATTATTATTATTATTATTATTATTATTATTATTATTATTATTATTATTATTATTATTATTATTATTATTATTATTATTATTATTATTATTATTATTATTATTATTATTATTATTATTATTATTATTATTATTATTATTATTATTATTATTATTATTATTATTATTATTATTATTATTATTATTATTATTATTATTATTATTATTATTATTATTATTATTATTATTATTATTATTATTATTATTATTATTATTATTATTATTATTATTATTATTATTATTATTATTATTATTATTATTATTATTATTATTATTATTATTATTATTATTATTATTATTATTATTATTATTATTATTATTATTATTATTATTATTATTATTATTATTATTATTATTATTATTATTATTATTATTATTATTATTATTATTATTATTATTATTATTATTATTATTATTATTATTATTATTATTATTATTATTATTATTATTATTATTATTATTATTATTATTATTATTATTATTATTATTATTATTATTATTATTATTATTATTATTATTATTATTATTATTATTATTATTATTATTATTATTATTATTATTATTATTATTATTATTATTATTATTATTATTATTATTATTATTATTATTATTATTATTATTATTATTATTATTATTATTATTATTATTATTATTATTATTATTATTATTATTATTATTATTATTATTATTATTATTATTATTATTATTATTATTATTATTATTATTATTATTATTATTATTATTATTATTATTATTATTATTATTATTATTATTATTATTATTATTATTATTATTATTATTATTATTATTATTATTATTATTATTATTATTATTATTATTATTATTATTATTATTATTATTATTATTATTATTATTATTATTATTATTATTATTATTATTATTATTATTATTATTATTATTATTATTATTATTATTATTATTATTATTATTATTATTATTATTATTATTATTATTATTATTATTATTATTATTATTATTATTATTATTATTATTATTATTATTATTATTATTATTATTATTATTATTATTATTATTATTATTATTATTATTATTACTATCATAGTAATGGTGATGATCATTCTTTCAATTGTTCCATGTGCCTATAAATTTTATTGGCGTTTATTATTAGGCTGCTTGGATGGAAGCTGAAGAAAAAGAAAGGAGAAAAGCAGCCTCAGAGGTGTGAAAATTAAATGAAAGCTCATTTGACTTTTAGGATGCATAGTTGAGGTGTGAAGGTTTACCCATGTTTGATCGCCTCTGGTCCAGCAGATTACTAACTCCGTCTACATTCACAATGAGAAGAAGATGATTGGACATTGTCATTTACTCTATTCTACAGTGTATTTTTTTTTGGTAAAAAGAAATATGTTAAAGTTTTACCTTCCACACTAGGATAAAAGATCTATGAACTAATACAACACTTTATTATAAATAATGTCGATTGTAACGTGTTATAGAGTATATACTAATACGAGTGCTTGTAGCCAACATTGAGTCCTAATAGTGGAGCGACGTATTATCTCACATTGACTCCTTTAAACTTCGAGGCATGAAAGAGCTCCATACTTGACTACTTTTAGTCTTTTGGAGGAGAAACCATACATTTAAAATAATGGTGAATTTATAAAATTGTTGACAAAGCAGAGGAGTTTTAAAAATGCAAGTGATAAAGGTGTCTTCAAGTCATGATGACATCAAGCTTTCAAAATCTAGGCAGTAGAAGTCAGAATGTGATTTGCATTTTTGTACGGAGTAATATTTACTATTTTATCATGATTTCTAAAATGAAATATAATTATAAACAAAAGAAAGAAACGCCCAAAATAAATAATACATGTTCAGGTGTAGTTTTTTTACTTTGTTCACTCAAAAGTACAAATATTGGAAATCCAAATTTATCTTTGTTACTTTCTGCTACTCCGTATTAAAAATGGTTTCTCTAAACAAATAGCCTTTTCATTCAAAGATGTGCTTTTCCCATCGATGGCTTTGTTTTACATACTCCGTATTTAGTAATCAACACCCAACTTGACTAACTTTAGGCTTATCTACTACTCCGTATGTGTACTTTTTCAACCAAATAACATTGCCCCATATTTTTTTGTGGGGTAGACGTATCAATTTAGGTTCAAGTTTTAACAGTTTTCAATTCAATTTGAAATGAGTTGAAAGAATATTACCATATACGGTTCTGTTCGGGTTTGTTCCGTTCCATTCAATTTGGATTTGTTATATTTCAAAAACATATTGAAAATCTATTGAATATTTTAGTACAGTTCAATTTTATTCTGTTTTTCATGAGTTAAATTAATCTTGATTTACTTCGGTTTAGAAGAAGTACTACCAAATTCAATCACGACTCCTAATATTCTCCATAATCTGATCAAGCAGCCATTGCAGTTGAAGAAAGTTCAGTCAAAATCAAGTTGTTTAAAAATTTAGCACAACCATTGCAGACATTTTAGCTTAAAAATATATAAGCAGCATTGCAGAATACATGAACCATAAATGTCTCTAACAACTTTTATTTCAGCACATCCCTCGAATCAGAGTCAAAATGTCAAATAGATCAATTTCCAGAGCTAGAAGTCTCAGGCTTGTTATTCCAGATGCAGAAACTCATTACTAGGGAGTGGAGGAGCTTCCCCGAATTTCAGCACATATGTAGTCCAATGAGCAATCCGCAACGCTGGAATGGCCGGTGCATCCAAATATGCATCGCAGGAGAAACACCACACTGATAAATCACTGCATTCAAATCCATATCACGCCCAAATTCACATCGAATGACGGAACTAAAATGAACAGATCGATTGGCTAAGTGCTATGGGGTGATTCGTCCGTTGATGGTGCTCGACCATGTGCTTGTTCACGAATCGGCTACAGAAAACTTGCTTGCAGCTCAAGCATAACCAGTTCTCCCTCGGATGTTGGCACCTGCAACGAAATTCCATTGGATTCATTGATTGATTGAATGCCTAGGGTAAGAGAAACCATCAGGAGAGGTTAGAAAGACAGACTCGTTGCAGGGAGTGACGGGGACGGGGATGTGAGCCAGGTCAGAGGATAATGAAGCGAGGTGATCGCAGTGAGTTCGGGGCTCCACCCAACCCGATTCGAACCCATCCATCATCAGTTCTTCGTCTTCGTAGATTACGGGAACTGAAGCGACGGACGACGATGAGGCCATTCACCGTTCTTGTTCTTACGCTGAAGACTGGGATTGGTTCGGTTACCAAAACCTATTGAGTTTTTTTTTTGAAAGACCATAACTTATGAGTTAACTATATGAAAAATTGTTAATTTTATATGGGTTCTATTATTATATTATACCGATTTTTTAATTGAAAAATAGATGAAAGTAGGGGTGGACAAAATGGTTTGATTTGATCAAACCGAACCGAAAATTGGTATTTTGGTATGGTTTGGTTTTACATAAGTAAACCGTTTGGTAACATTTTGCTCAAACCGAATGGTTTGGTTTGGTTTAAAACTGAAAAACCGCAAACCGAACCGAATACCGAACAACTTGTAATATACGAAGTATATAAATACTTTGTATTTTTTTCCACCCTTCATCTTTGGGATATAAACAAATAATTTAGACATGAAAAATACAAACTTAGCATATATCATTCTAACTTTTACACATTTATACATTAAGTTTGAAAGAGTTAGCTAATATGACATATTTGTATTTGTTATGTTTGTACTTTACCTATATGAAAAGATATTTGGCGATAACCTTAGCAAATTGCATTTATATATTTTAAATGATTCATTTGAATAAAATTGTGAATATTACAACATTTAATTTGTATCACTAACTCATTTAATTAGTTTTCTTTGAATATTTTATGTGATATTAGAAATGTTAATCAACTACGCAGTACAAATTTATTTATTGTTGGAATGAATCTTTTTTATTTATTGAGAAGATGTTAATTAGAAGTTTTAATTTATACGTAGTGATATTTTATTATTTCTTTTTCTATGTTTTCTTTCCTTTTACATTTTATTTAAAGAGTAAATAAAAGAAGATAATATGGACAACTACTTTCATTTTCTAATTGTAGAATATAGAACTTGATGAAATAAAATAATAAACATAAGAAACTCAATTAGTCGAATTAAATTGAACCTAACAATTTTTACGTTGGTAAACCGAACACCAAAACGAACCGAAACCGAAACTGAAACACAAATGGTTTTAGTTTGTTACACATTCTCCCAAACCGAATAAACTGAAACCGAACCGAAACCGAAGAAAACCGAACCGTAAACCGAATTGCCCACTCCCAGATGAAAGAATGGCTGAAATATCACATCGCAACTTTGAATGGACAAAAATACGATCCTTTTAAATCTGGACAAAAATATGATTTCATTAAAGAGAAAACCCAGCCCAATCCGTCCATCTTCCATGTGTGTTACTTGCTCGCCCAAGCTACGATCTCTGCTGCTCCGCCTTACATCCTCACAACATCGTCGACCTAGGCGCCTTCCTTCCTCCCCTAGCATCGTCGAACTCAGGCTCCTCCTCCGAACAACAGAAGCATCAATATCTTCCTCCTCCCTTCTTCCTTGGCCATCGTCTTTGCGCTCACGCCGATAACAGAGCAGACGCAATAGTGGTCTTCTCCTTCGTCGCCAAATCTCGATTATTATGTATTATTTTTAAATGGATATAACTTTTTCATTTTTGCTCCATTTTTTATAAGTAATATATCAACATTCATAATTTTTCTGATCTTTCATTTGACACCAATATTTCATATATATTTTTTTTTTAAATGAAGAACATGTTGCGTACCATTGGAGTAATTGTTTTTCAAAATATGTGGTCCCACCATTGGAGTCATGGGCGGAGCTAGGGGAGGGCCATCCCTAGCCCTGGCCCAGCCCAAAATTTCAAAATGCTTGTATTTTCAGTCTCAAAAAATCTATGTAAAAAAATTTCAATAATATTTTTTGTACCGGCCCAGTGCGGCCCAGTGCCCTAGCTCTTCCCCTGATTGGAGTAATTGTTTTTCAAAATATGTGGTCCCACCATTGGAGTAATTGTTTTTCAAAATATGTGGTCCCACCATTGGAGTTGGCATTTGGAGTGCTACATTGAAATTGGAAGTTACGCAGTGTCACGGTTCCAAATTTTAGGGAACCGGAACCGCACAGTACCGGTTCTAAAAACGGCGGTTCCGGTTCGAAACCGGTTCGGTTTCCGGTTCCAAACCGGTTCGATTTCCGATTCAACTTTTTATTTTTTATTTTTAAATATTAAAGTTTAGTATTATTAAATAAATTAATAAAGGAGTTGCTAAAAATACAAGAATAAATATCTGTCATTGTTAAAATTAATTACAAAAATAAGATAATTAATAGCTACATTGCCGACATAGTTATAAATTAGATTGCAAACTCCTTTAATCTATTATTCTAAAACAAGTTCATTATTAATAAATAATTGGTACTTATAACTAATAATTTTAATAAAATATATATTAAATAGTATATTAATAACTAAGGAGTAGTAACGAGTAACTCTTATAATGTTATTTATATTATTAATACAAATAATATTAATAATATTATCATTTTTAGCATTATTAATATTATTAATAATATTATAATTAAATAATTAATTCAAAAAAAAGAAGTTCCGAACCATAACCGCTGGTCTAGTAATCCTTCGGTTCCGAACCGAAGTACTGGGCGGTTCTGATTAAGGTCCGGTTCCGGTTCAAAAACCAGCGGTTCCGATTTAACCGGGGGCAGGTCTATACGCAGGTAAGTCGCCACTTCAAGTGGCGGCTTTGTTTAACCAGGATTCCAGCTAGCGGTATTTTGGGAATTATTTTTAAGTCAACTTTATTTTTGGATTTATTTATTTATTTAGCATTAATTTTGGAAAAAACTCATTAAAATGAATATGATTTTTAAAATAAATCTGGATGGTTGTAATATTATAAAATAACCACAATAAGATCGATAAGTGTAGACTAAGAAAACATGAATTACTTATTTGAATAAAATTACAAATTTATTTGAAAGGAAAAACATACATAGTAAAACATAAAACATAAAAGTAAATGAAAGATAACCACTTAAAAAACGTTTTTTAACCCAATTACGGAGTATTGTTGAACTACGTTCGTAGATTGAAAAACGCGATGCCCCTGTTAGGTTTTCGCGGTGTATATATACTCCGTACGTATCAGTTCGAGTGCCACCACTTTAGAGCATTTAGGGTTTTCTCCAATAGCCGCTATACTCCGTCGCTGTGTTCCTCTTCCATCGAAGCTTCTCGAGAGAAAGAGAAAACAAGAATGGGGCACGCTAACATCTGGAACGCTCACCCTAAGAACTATGGCCCTGGCTCGCACCCTTGGTATCGTCTCAA